TATTGAGGAAAGGGTAAGCACCTTTCTTCCTTTATTTCCTTTTTTTTTTTTTTTTTCTACTACACCAAGACAGCTTAAGGGTTAGAGATGACCTGTGTACTGTTTCATCCAAGATTTTGCTTTGGGCATTGCCATGCGCCTTCTCTGTTTCACAACCTAACTATACTCTCAAAAACCTATCTATAGAAATTGGGCTGTAGCAAACTGGAACTCTTTTACAAATAGAAGAGGCCCAAAATATGAAGTATAATTGTTAAATTGTTCTTAATGTTTATTTATTTTTGAGAGAGAGAGAGAGAGAGAGAGAGAGAGAGCGCGCGCACAAGGAGGGGAGGGGCAGAGAGAGAGGGAGACACAGAATTCAAAGCAGTCTGCAGGCTCTGAGCTGTGGGTACAGAGCCCGGCACGTGGCTCAAACTCACAAACTGCAAGATCATGACCTGAGCTGAAGTCGGGCACTTAACCAAGTGAGCCACCCAGGCATCCCTGAGGGATAACTGTTTAAAAACTAAATGCTTCAGAAATACCAGCTATTACCACCCAGATATACCCTGGATATATTTTCTCAAATCAACCTGTTTGTATATGGGAGGAATTCTACTAATTTAGCTCATCTAGATCTAAATAGATTTCACGAAATAATAGAGAATAAGAGAATGATCCATAATTATTTGGAATGAAGTCTCCAAATGGGAGGTTCTGGATCAGTTAGGTAAAAGTTTTGGGAGAAGTGTTTGGTTTTAATTTTGTTAATAGCCTTCCCAAAGTCCTGACTCTTTTTGTGTCTATTTTTTCACCACAGTGTGACCACATTTGGGTAAACAACTTGCACTTAGCAGTCAACATGCTAACTCTTAAGTCTACCACATTGTTAAAAGACAATACAGAAGCACAGGATTCGTGATGAGAATTGTATTCAGTCTGTTATGAACGTACATGTGTGTATTGACATGTATTAATAATTGCAAGGCTCTGAGAAAGCAGTGCTTTTTTGCTCCCACTCAATGTTTTAATGCACAGAAGCAATCAATCCCTGCCCTCCTCCTTGCTCATAGCCACTTCTGCTGGACTTCTCCCAAGGTTACTAACAGCTCAGCCAAGAACAAAAGCTTGGATGTCAAACATCCTGCAAACATAACCGTTACTTCTTGAGTAAATCGCTGTGAATGAGCCTCCCTGGGGATAAACTACACAAGGTCTTTGAAGGAATATTTGGCTAAGTACCCTTAGGAAGATACAAATTCAAAAGTATGAAGGGAACTTTAATTTGGGAACTTAATTGCAGAAGATACATGTATAACTTTAAAAACTAAAGCCAGAGTCCTTCAAAAACTCTTCAACATTCTTACTCATTTAATTTACCACAATTTTAACTTTAGTATATTGAGGAATTGTCCACTGTAGTAACCAGTCATTTCAATCAGCCCTTTCTACTGCCAGCAAACATCAAGACAGGAAGAAAGAATGTAGAGGAAAAATGGAGCTTACCTCTTCCTATAGACTGGATGCATCATTTATAAAAGCTGTGATGCACATGGTTCAGTCCAAGAACACTTTCATGGAACCACTTAAGACACATGATCTATAGAAGTAATTACAAAATGACTTAGATCTCTTCATACACTTTTCTTTTTACCGGTGGTATGAACATTTAACACGAGATCTACCCTCCAGAGTTTTAAGTGTAAAATGCAGTATTGTTGACTATAGGTACACTCTTGTACAGATGATCTCTAGAAGTTATTCGTCTTGTGTAAGTGAACCTTTATGGCTGCTAATTAGTAGTGCCTCATTTCCAGAAAATGCAAATCAAAACCACAATGAGACATAATCTCATGCCTATCAGGAGGGCTATTATCAAAAAGACCAAAAGACAAGTGCTGGTGAGGATGTGGAGAAACTGAAACCTTTGCACCATGCAGGTAATAATGCAAACTGGTGCAGCCACTAGAGAAAACAGTATGGAGGTTCCTCAAAAACTAAAAATAGAACTACCATTTGAAAAAGCAATCTTACCTCTGGGAATTTATCCAAAATAATGGAAATCAGAGTATTGAAGAGAGATTAGCATTTGAATGTTCATTGTAGCATTATTCATGGGACTCAAGATACAGGAACAACCTAAACATCCATCGATAAGTGAATGTATAAAGAAAATGTGGTATATATTCAGTTGCGTGTGTGTATATATTATAGGATGTATTCATATACTTTTAAAACACCTACTATAGTAACCTTTACTCTATCCTTAAAGTAGTTTTGAAAAGCCCTCAGCCCTGGGGAGCCTGGGTGGCTCAGTCAGTTTTAGTGTCTGACTTCAGCTCAGGTCATGATCTCACAGTTCCGGAGTTCGAGCCCCACATTGGGCTCTGTGCTGACAGTTCAGAGCCTGGAGCCTGCTTTGTATTCTGTATCTACCCCCCTCTCTCTCTGCCCCTCTCCCCCCTCCCCCCCTCTCTCTCAAAAATAAATAAACATTTAAAAACTTTTAAAAAGGCCCTCAGTCCTATAAACCTACAGAATAATCATAACTCTAGGTACTAATGAGAAATAATACTGGGAAAAGAGGCTATTATTATGATTATAATGGCTATGATGACTATTAATATTTTCACTTTACATCTATTGTTCTCCCCTTGCACTTTTCACAGATACTTCCATGGAATGTGAGGAAAGAAACAATATTAACAGAGGTACAACACCTTCTTTAAAGCTCATGAGGAAATGGGCTCAGTCATTTCTATCCAGCACATTAAATTAAATAAAATGTAATACTTGCCTCTTATGTTTTTTTCTTATAGCCATGTTTTCAACTTTCCTCTACCTCTAGCAACCAATTACCTATAAGCAAAACACCCACATGTACAGAAATTGTTTTTAACTTCTGCTTCTATTAAGTACTAGTGTCTAGGACTTAGCAGTCATCACCCAAATTTAGTGCTGACCTACCAAGTAAGTTCTAGGAGTTTGAGCTTAGAAAATATAGAAGAGGGTGGTATGGGTTTCCTTTTTATCAAAGTGCTGACAGTTGTTTAAAGAACACTGTTGGATCATTTATTTTAATAGCTTCTCATTTCCTGTTTCAATTTGTAATACCTATGGGACTTAGGAAATAAGTGTTATTCTAGACAAGTTTCATTTGGTAAACATTGATTCCTTTGCTCTGATTCTAATCGGAGCTGAAATAAACTGTTCTCCTCCCCTATTTTTATTCCCCAGCACCCCAGATGGATGTCCTGAGCTGACCTGTGGCTAGTGGTCACAACGCCCTCTCAGCATAATCCCTGCCAGGCCTTTGAGTCTCTCACTGTCCTACTTTAGCAATGGATAAAAAATGAGGGCTCATTTAAAAAAAAAAAAAAAGGGCTTCCTCTTGCATGGAAAACAATCCAACCTGTTTTAGGAAAGAGGAAAACAAACCTCTTTTAGGAAAAAGTATAACTATTTGTTAAAATGCATTGATCAATTTTCTGATAGATTTTCCTTCATGTCATAGACTGGCCATCTCCGTGGCTTTGAACAAGTGATGTCATTTCACCAGACCATTCTCTGCATCTGTAAAATGGAATTATTAATAGTACTGTCTTCAAAGCATTATTAGAGGATTCAATAAACAATCTTTAGCAAACAGAAATCTAGGCAAAATCACATTACCTCAGTACCTATGCATTCATCCCAGACCATGGTACTAGAAGAGAAGAAATAGCACTGGAATAGCATTGGAAGAAAGGGGGAGACACACACACACACACACACACACACACACACACACACAGAAACAAGTGGTACACTGTCTTGGAAATGCATAAGGAAGAATCCACAGTCCACACCCAGTGTGTACATTGGGAGTGGGAGTCAAGTAGAATCTAGATTACATATAATTGAGCTGATCATTATTGAGAATGAATTAAGGTACTCAGGATCTCGTCATATTATTCTCTTTTCTGGATAAGTTTGAAACATTGCACAATTAAAATATGAAAGCAAACAGAAAGTAAACCAAATTCTTGGTATGTAGGTCCCTACAACTGTGGGAGAAGTCACAAATTTGCATGAGCTTAATTTTTCTTCTCTGCATATATATTTTTTTAAATTTTTATCTAGAAATAGCCTATCCTCATTCTTGCTTTTATTTTTGCCAGGACATGCTGTTCGGTATGTGTTTTTTAAGCTGTTCTCAGAATAAACTTGGCAGTAATATTTCCCCTTAGAGAAGTGGGAGGCAGAGGGCAAGGGATTGCTCCCAAATCCCTCAGGGGACGGTCTCCCTAGTTATTAGCGTAAAAACTTCCATAGGCTTACAGGAGATCACAAATTACCTCTCCTTTTCTTTGGAGATCCTTGGCCTAAAAGAAGCCAGGGAAACCAACTCACTGGGAACAACGCATGCCATCTAAGCAGGCCGTCTATAGCTCCAAAAGACTGTGTTGAGAAGAATATGACCCCAGCCCCCACTCCCTTCCAGAAAGTAGCTTCTGACCTTATGATAGCCTAAGGTGCAGTGTACCATATAGGCCTGAGAAGCCCCACGGGCCTTTTTTTAACATGAGGCCCTTAATAGTATCACTATTAAGGCATAGTTTCTGAATAACTGGATGTTTCCATGTCAATTAACCTCAGATTCAGACTTTTATGACTATGAAAAAGACAAAGTTCTCTAGCTGTGTGGTTGTTTGTTTGATGTCTATCTTCACTGAGAAAAATTATGAGAAGAAATTTTATGACCCTCTTTTTCAAGGGTCTAGACAAAGACTTCAAGGAGAAGACATATGAAAATGAGACTGAACATGTCTTGATCCCAGCAAGGAATAATTATTAATTATCTACTAAGTCATAGATTACCCCAAAACTGAGCAACTTAAAACAACAGTAATTTTCTCAAAGTTTCTTTGGAACCATAATCTGGGTATGGCTTATCTGGGACCCGCCAGCTCAAGGACCCTCTCTCATAAGGTTGTGATCCAGCTGTGGACTGGGCTAACAGTCATCTCAAGATTCACCTGGAGAAGGGCCCCTTCCAAGCTCATCACATGGTTGTTGTCAGGATTGAGTTCCTCACAGGCTGTTCGACTAAGGACCTCAGGTCCTCATCGGCAGCCCATCACAGACATCTGTGAAAAAAATCCCAGTGACTGGTTTTGTTAAGATTTTTCTTGCCTTTTACTTTTGATGGGATGCAACGCACAAATTTGTTGTAGAATTAAACTAAAATCCTTCTGCCTAGAGAACCAACACCTTCAAAGTGATTCAGTGCTACCCTGGCATTTGTCACCTAGCCAACCTTCTACTTCCCATCACATCTCAACTTAAATGGTCTTTTTTCTTGGAACTAATTTTTGTTTCCCCCCAAAAAACCCATAGGTAACATATAATGATATAATTAAGACTTTGTGACTATTTGTATTAATGCTTCATGGCAGTATGATTTATGGAAAACGAAACCAAACCAAAAACATCAAACATGGGATGAGAAGCTGTGAATTCTAATGCCCCTGCTGCCCAATGGGAAGCTGAGGTGAAGTTATCTTTTCTCTCTGAATCTCAGATTCTTCATCTCCAAAATGTGGGATCAGAATGCCCAGTTCCTTTGAGGTTCAGAGGGCATAGGCTTCTTTTCACCCAAGATTTAAATGGCACCTGTCTCCCTCACCACCATCTGATCATGATGTATACTTTTGAATATTCTTCAATATTCAAAAGTCACATTCCAGCCAGACCATGTCAAGGTAGAACCATCTTCTGGTACAGCAGGTGGTGAGTGTTGGGTGTCCATACATACCACCTAGTCCTGGGGAACATTCTAGTTTCTTTTCAGTGGTTGGGGATGATCCATCTACACTACTTGTGCTGATTCTCTCCATTTCTCCAGAAACACAGACTTCACCTGACTATCTTGGAATCCAGTAATAATGAGTTTAGGATAGCTCCTCCATTCACAAAGTAAATGCCCAGCAGGTAAGTGCTTGCAGATGAATTTAAAAATAAACAAATAAAAATAAATGGATGAGTGTCAGAGACACAGACTTCCAATAGTGTCTTCCACCCTGGATCCATGAGAGCACATGGAGACATTCCATGATTTGAAAGAGGTCAGTTCCCAGAACTAAAGAATGGTACCGTTCACCTAAGTGCATTGATAACAATTTTGGGTTTTAATAAACTAAAGATGGGTAGATGGGGGTGCCTGGGGAGCTCAGTCAATTAAGTGTCCGACTTCAACTTAGGTCATGATCTCACAGTTCGTGCGTTCAAGCCTCGCATCAGTCTCTGTGCTGACAGCTTGGAGCCTGGAGCCTGCTTTGGATTCTGTGTCTCCATCTTTCTGCCTCTACCCTGCTCACACTGTCTTCTTCTCTCTCAAAAAATAAATAAATAAGTAAATAAACATAAAATTGTTTTTAAAAATATGGGTAGATGGATGCATTATGCTGATTAAAACAATAATAATGATGCTATGTACGTGCTTTGTTTTCCAAATTGGCAAGGGTAGAAGGCTCAAAAGTATAAAGCTAAGAAAGTTTTTCATATTCTTCTTGCCACCCAGTTCTGTCTCTGTTTCTCTCACCTTTTATAAGGGAATGGATCCCTCAACCTGTTTCTTTTTCCTTATTTCTCCAAATTACCAAAGACTGCTAGGAGAACCAGGGAAGCATATCTGCATTTTACCATAGAATCCTCCCTTCTACATGTACTTACATGAGTAAGCCTTCTACATGTACTCTTCTGTGGCCACTTGAGATAACCCCAGGGCATTTCCCCTGGGAGGAAAACTCAAACTGAAGCCTTGGATTTGTACCAACTCTTTCCATAATTTATTTTCCTGATTCACAGAGGAAGATAGAATCTCAAATAATACATTACACACAGAAAACACTGCCTTATTTAAAAAAAGGAAAAAAAAAGAAACACAGAAGTCAATAGAACTAACATTATGAAATGTATTAATTGAAACAAGATTGAGGTTTTGCACAAGGTGCTTACCACAGACTGAAAGGTCAGGGTGAGGATTCTGGTCCTTGTAAGGCCCTTGTTCCTTAAGACCATGTGTCCTACTACGGGAAAGGAGCAGAGTTTGTGTTTTGAAGGTTTTCCCCACAGAGCCATCCAGCATGATCCAGAGCTAGAAGAGCCACTGTTCTCTTCTCCTAGTGGCATCTACTGCACTGGAAAGAGCATCAGCCAACCCAGCCATCCATCACTTATGAAACATGTTCAAATGAAAAAAGAATGTATGCCTGTCTTAACAGATTGCTCTGAGGATAAAACAACATGATGTGAATGTGCCTTGTAAACTGTACATGGGAAGATAAATGGGAGAAGTGTTTTAATTGCTTTTAATTTATATCATTGTGAGGACTGAGAACTATGTACAAGGCACAGTGTTAGGCAGTATATACACTTTACTCACTTAACCTTCCCGCAAATCTTACATGTATTGCCATGCTTGTGCTACAAATAGAGAAACTGAAGTTCAGAAAGTCTAGGTGACTGAACCCTACTCTAGACTGTTACATGACAATGTGGGGACTACACCCCACTCTCTGACTCCAAGGTTTATTTTTTTATTTTATTTTTTTTATTTATTTATTTTTTATTTTTTTTTCAACGTTTATTTATTTTTGGGACAGAGAGAGACAGAGCATGAACGGGGGAGGGGCAGAGAGAGAGGGAGACACAGAATCGGAAACAGGCTCCAGGCTCTGAGCCATCAGCCCAGAGCCCGACGCGGGGCTTGAACTCACGGACCGCAAGATCGTGACCTGGCTGAAGTCGGACACTTAACCGACCGCGCCACCCAGGCGCCCCTGACTCCAAGGTTTAAATTCCACCAATAATTCATCTCTTTTCTTTGCCTTTATTTATCTTATACATAACACATATGGTATAAGGGAAAACCTTTGGCACAAAATCTTTACTTTCAGCAAAGTTTTAATGAATATCCCTACCAAATCTTGGAGAGTGACTGCCAACGAATCTGTCATTGGGTCTCAGCCAGCAATAAACTTGGTGTTCAGTGCTGAGATGGGGACTTAGGAATAGGACTCCTGAAGGGAGCGGTGTGTTGAGCCAAAAGGTAACATTTTATGTAGCTCCTTTGTGGGTTGTAACTGCATTCCCTTTAGTGCCCTTTCATTTCTCACTCTCAAGTGTGGGGGTGAGAAAGGAATTAATTATAGTGAGCCAGCGCTCCTGCCCACCACAGAAAGCTGCTCATAAACTGCCGGCTAGGGATAGATGTTCCTATAAAAAAATGAAATGAGAGCCTATTCCTCCCCTGGAAAAGACTGAGAATAGGCATTGCTCTACTTGTATTGAGAGATGCTTAGACTATTCAAAGGTTAGTCTTCCTTTGATGTGGCTTCCTTTTTGTACGAGAAGCCACATCCCTTGAAATTATAATATCGTCTCTCCCTTGTTCGGATACACCTGTTCACGTATATGTATGGATTCACATGCACACATTTCAGATACAAATATCACCTATATGTGGATGGACTCAGACATATGCAGTCACACACATACTCAGGCATACATGTGCGCACACGCACACACACGCACACACTTGAAACTGAAGACAGAAGGAATCAAGCTTCAGCTGGCTGAGTCTGACAGACTGCTCCTCAGATTCTAGGTCCATCATGCATTATCTAAAACATAAATTATTATCATTTCCTCTCCGATATTCAGTTTTCCACATTTATAAATTAGGTATAATACCATCTCTTAAAGGGATTGTTGTACAAACTGTGTTAAGAGATACAATTCACACAAAAATAACTTAGCACAGGAACTTGATGTGCAGCAAAAACTGAGGAAATCCTTTACAGACCATGTACGTTCCTAGGATCCAAATTTGCCAGGAATATTCTGCAAATAGGACAGGGGAATTTTTATTCAAGGGTGGAGAGTGGAGGCCCGGTTCCATATTCCATGTCCTGGGCTTCAAACAGATATCACTGTATTACACACAGTGCTTGTATATAGCCTGGAGAAAACAGAATTGAGAGCAGGTTTTGTTACGGAAAGGAACTGGTAGCCTTTAGATTTACATTCTTTGCAGTGAAAGAAAGAGAAAAGAAAAATTAAGACAATGAAAGGAAAAAGAAAGATTCTTGATAAAATGCAATAAAGGATGCATAATTCTTGGATATACCCAATAGTAATTGAAAAGAAATAAAAAGTCAGGGAACAGAGAGTAGAAAAAGAGCATTAATCTAGGAATCACAATGAACTGGAATCTGGTCCAGGTGCTACCACTGCCTGACCATAAACTTACTCAAATCACAATCCATCCTTAGGCTCCATATTGAATAAAAATTCCAACACTAAATACGAACACTTTCTTCACTAGATAGTCTATGACTTTGGTTCTAGTCTTATGAAAGAGTATGGATACCCAATGTTTTAATAAACATTAACAAAAAAAAATAATAAACAAACACAAACCTAATAAGAATGAGTATAAATGAACGCACATCACCATCAGGTAACTCCAGCTCTCCTCCAATAGTAAAATGTGGACTTATTCTACCTAGAATATTACAAAAATACTTGTCCAAACTCCACAGCTAATTATTAAGCAGATGGTTTTCAACTGCATGTAAGGAGGGAGGGAAAGAAAGAAGAGAGGAAGGAGGAAGGGAGGGAAGAAGGGAGGAAAGAAAGAAGAGGGACAAGGAGGAAAGGAGTGAGGAAAGGGATGAAAGGAAAGAGGAAAGAAAGGATAAACAGAGAAAAATTAGACATGATCGTTAGGAGTCAACAGGAATTGTACTCTCAAAGTGAAAAGTCACGTTTGTCTTTGTCACCCAATATTGTACAGACACATGATTTTGAAATGCACCCAATAGGAAAGGAAGAAGATCCAGAGAGAGAAATGAACCATGTATCTTTATATTAGCATTTCATAATAATTCATTGCTGTAGTTATGATTTTATAAAATAGTACTAAAATTCCATTCTAAAAATTACGGCTCTTCAGTGTAATGGTGACTCTTTTAGAAAATATAAGTCTCTTTGGAAGAACATCACTGACAGATAAGGAGACTATTCAATGTATATACACTTGATGGGGACTCTGAATTGTTCGCTGGGTCAATCTAGATGTTCA